ATGAAAATCCTGACTGCAGAGCAATCAAAAATACCGACATAGATCAGTCCAAAATAAATGGTTAAGCAAAAAATGTACTTAATTCATTGTCAAAAAAATCACTAAATGCCTCCCTGCCTAATCCAAAGAAAGAAAAGTGAACTGTATCCCAACCAAAATTGTTCTTTTCTAAGAGTAAGAATGATTTCAGTAAACTCGAAAATCATCCAATGAAGAAACATATACTTTTAGGTTTAAGGCTAACAATGTAGACCAAAACCTTGGGTCCCTGCAGGTCCTGGACCCGGTGCCTGGCCATTCCAGTGTAAAGGAAAGAAAACTAAACGGTTTAATTTCCTTCCTAACATTCTGAGCTAAAATTACATGGAAATATAGCAATGACAACTTAAAAATCTAAGCTCCAAACCAAAAGACGAAACCCACAAAGGGAGCTAGAAGAAAAGAGTACTTACAGAACACCCAGAACCAAATGAACCACAGACAGCAACCAAGGTACTGAAAACGACCACAGGGGTAACTGAAGAATCACTCTCTATCAAGTTGTCTTCACTAATCATGCGAGGATTTGCTGCTAAAAGAGTAGACCTTGAGAGTAACCCATCTTCCTCCATGCTGTCTCTCCCAATTCCCCAATTTTCTTGGAGCACAGAGAAATAAAAATTAACAGAAAAGTTGCTGGGATTGCATGTGATATATAGAGAAGGCAAAAGCCTACTTTTTTTTTAACCCCTCACCTTATTAAATTTGAAGGTTTTAACCCCTCATCTTATACTATGACATTTTTACTTTTTCATCTTATATTATGACATTTTTACTTTTTCATCTTATATTATGACACTTTTAACCTCTTACCTTACTAGATTTGTAAGTTTTAACTTATTACTTTGTACTAAAAGTCTAAAACACTTTTAACTACTTACTTATTAAAATTGAAGAAAATAGGCCTCATTTTGTAACGTTTTGTTAGTTTTGTTAACTGACTGTTAATTTTGTTAACTAATTGTTAATTGACTGTTATTAAACAAAAATCTTTTTTTAAATAACAGAATTAACAAAACTAATTTTATAGTATTTTGTTCATTCTGTTAATTGATTGTTGTCGATTATTAGTTAATAAAAATTTACTTTCAATTAATAGAGTTAATAATCAATATAAAGTGACAGTTATTTTCTTCGATTTTAATAAGTGAATGACTAAAACCTACAAATATAGTAAGATAAGGGATTAAAAGTGTTATAATATAAGATGAGGGATTCAAACCTTCAAACTTAACAAGATGAAGGGTTAAAATAAGTTTTTACCAAGAAAGAGGGGAGGTTAGTGGAGACTGACAAACGAGTACCAGTTAATTTGGACCCTTGATTGGAAGATATTCGTAATTTTTCAATGGGTTAATGCCATCTGTCATCCCTCTCCAACCAAAAAAAGTGCAATTTAAACGTTCTACTATTAATTGGCTTCACGTCCTTCCTTTACTATTAATTAACTCCACTTGTCGTCCCTCTACAATGCAAAAACAAGCCAACGTCATCCCTCCATCGAATGTAAGCTCCATCAAATGTAAGCTAACGATACTATTTTTTGACCATTAAGTGCAAACGGGGGTTAATGGTTAGGCCTTCTTTATTTTTATTTTTATTTTTTTGCCACCTTACCTTGTGGGTCCCACCCTTGCCACATCATCTCTCACAGAAATTTTTTGCCTTATCCTGGACTTCCTAATGCCTCCCCAACGTGTATCCTGTAGGTGGGAACTCAACCCCATTTTTAAACTATTTTGCCTCCAAAAATTCCTAAATTTTTATACCTTTAGTACAATTTTTAACTTTTACAGTCATACTTAGCTCTGAGTTTTAAAATCTCTGAGTTTTAAAATCTCTATGCAAGGAAAAGGAAAAGTTGTCCATAAATCCAAGATCAACATCAGGAAAGCAGAGAACGGCCTCAGAGGTATACAATAAAAATGGAGTTTTTTATGTTTGTGGTTAATTAATTTAATGAAAGATTCCTAGAGATTAATAAAATAATCTTAGTTACGAGGGAAAAAGAGGATGGGCCAATCTCAAACCCGGTGCATACCACTTGAACGGATCAAAGTCGTTTAACCACTTGCACTACTAAGTGGTTTGCTTAGAGGCATACTTGACGATAAATTATTTTAGGTCCAAAAAGAAAAATTTTAAAGTTCTTGGACGAAAGTGAGTTTTTCCTTCATAAAATGCAATAGCAACAATGCCTTTCAAAAACCAAATGGCAAGACGACGTTTGTTGAATATACTATTTGGTCGAAGCAACAGTAACACACTAAACACTGAAGGAGGAAAAGATGGAGGACGTAGAGATGGAGGAAGAAATGGTGGTAGAAGAAAGAGAGTAACTGGCGCCACCGACCAAGGTGGAGAAATATCTGTATGACATGCTGAAGGAGAGCAAGGCGTCGGTAGAGGAGGTCATCGCCAAGATACTGTCCATCAAGAGAGAAAACAACCCGAAATCGAAGCTCAGAGAACTCCTCACACAAACCTTCCTTCACTTCGTCACTCTCTGTTAAGTCAACATTCACTCTCTCCTAGATTTTTCTGTTTTTCATTTCTGATCTGGGGAAAAGATTTGGGGATTTCTTATCTGGGTTTCGAAAGAAAGGAAGAAACCCAAATTTCTGAGTTGGGATTTCGATTTGTGTTAATCTCAAATGGGTTGCGAAAGGAACAAAGAAATTAAGGGAAAAGATTTGGGGATTTCTGATCTGGGTTTCGAAAGAAAGGAAGAAACCTAGATTTTTTATTTGGGGTTTTTTATTTAGGGATTTCAATTTGTGTTAATCTCAAATGGGCTTCGAAAGGAAGAAACAAATTAGGG